TGTAAGACCAAAATTGTTCAATTGTTAGATTAATCTCTGAACCGTTCTATTTTAGAAATGGTTAAAGATATCTTACTGGAATTCTCCGGGGTTTACATAACATTGTTTGACTCTACTTTGAGCAATAAGAATGTATAATTACTCTCCAAGCTTCATAGAAGAATCGTGATGATCATAAAGGAAAATATGTTCATCATGAATTAATCAAGCTAAGGATCAGAAGCTTATGAATGATTGAAATAAACGTCATATATATATATATATATATATATATATATATATATATATATATATATATATATATAATTCCAGGATCATTTTCAAACTTATTTAAGATGATCTTCGCCCTCTCTAACCTTCTAACTTTCTTTTCTGGAGTAACAAGATGCCTCACAGCTTTCACGTAAGATTACACTTTCAAGTTTTTTGTTCACTGCTCTTTGGACGCTCTTTGGAAGCTTCTCTCTCATCTGCCAAACGTCTTATAAATTCAGTTGGATCTTTTCTAATTGATCTCTTTAGTTCTAACTTAAAGTGATGATCCCTCTTCCTGTTTTAACCTCCAGATCCAGTTTTCATTTTTGTTCTTTAAACTTATTCACCGCTCTCTTAATGGCTCTTGAATGGACTTTCAAGATGGAAGCCAGAGTATGAATGTTGGTACCATTACTGACGGTCTAAATGGTCATTTCCCTCTCATCATTATTCATTTGGAAATACGTTGGGGCTGACACAAAACGATTTTAACCTGTTCTCTTTCTAGCTGAATAACTGAAAGGGTTTTTCAGTGATTCTTACGACAAATGGTGTCAAGATGGCGAAACGATTTATCTGAAAACCTGGAAAAAGAAACTCACATAGTTTAGTATTATTTTTAGATATTAAACATTTTGTGGGATGGACAATTATGTTGTTACACAATTCTGGACACTTTTGTAGTTACACTCGGTATATATATATATATATATATATATATATATATATATATATCGTATATTTTGGCAGCAACTTTTCATTAAGACATGTCTCATTAAATAATTTAGATAAGTTTTGTCTACTTATTTTTAATAGGATCCAACAAGAGAAAAGAAGACCCTGATGATGACATTGTGCTAATGTCGAAAGTACTCGGAATAAAATGAATATGCATCAGAATATGCATTATTTCTTCCTTTAATAAGGATACTAAGAAACTTGTCCGTAATTACGAGAGAAGTAGACGAAACATGTCTAAATTATTTAATGAGACATATTTTAATGCACACACACACGTATATATATATATATATATATATATATATATATATATATATATATATATATATATATATATTGTGTGTGTGTGTATATTTGTGTGTTCTTTGATACAGCTGGGAGTGTTCATCTACAAGTTAACTATGCTAATCAATTAGCTAAGATCCACTGCATTGTTTCGGGATCTTTTTCGGAAGAACGTTACAGTACGACCGGACACAATCATCACGGATATTTGAAAAGTAGAAAGAAAAAAAAGAAAATGAAAAGATTCGTAGAAAGATTGAATATATATAGGAGGCACGGTAGAGTAATGGATAGCGGCTTGGATTGAGGAATCGCAGAGCCGAGTTCGAATTCCAGTCGAATCCATTACATTCACTTACGTGCTAACACCCTTGGGAAAGGTGTGAATCCTCTTTCTTCTCCCTCCAGCTATGGGTAAATAGCAGGACAGACTGGGTTCTATAGCCTTAAATGGCAACTGGTCTAAGAGAAAGACAACTCTGAATTCAAAACCGGAGGGTCATTTGGGAACCTTGTGGCATTCGGTGCACCAGGTCTCTGTATTCGTCCCTTCAAAAAGTGTGGATGGTCCTGCACGAGGCCTTCACCTCTATAATCAAATCTCATGTGCCGGTGTCGGGCTGTCGGTTTCCTGGAAACTGATCTGCTTGACCCTCATACGTCGAATCTCGACGGGAGAGTCGATTATATATATTAAATTGTAGAGAACTCGCTATCATTAACTTAAGAATTAAGATTCGTCAGAAAATTCAAATAGAAAAACCGTAATTTTTTTACGGGTAAAACTAGTTATTATTAATATTTCCTTTGATTTTTGTTGTATACACATTTCTTTCCGGGTCCCAACCAGAGACGTAAGGTCAGAAATGGCTTCATGACATTTTTCACTGATCATTTTTGTAAAAAAAACAAATAAAAAACAAGGTAAGATCACACCACATTTTACATAAAGCTGACAGAAGACGTGAAACTCTTCTTTCTTTCTTTCTTTCTTTACTTCCTTCTTTCTTTCTTTCTTTTTTCTTTCTTTCTTTCTTTCTTTACTTCCTCCTTTCTTTCTTTCTTTCTTTCTTTACTTCCTCCTTTCTTTCTTTCTTTCTTTCTTTCTTTCTTTCTTTCTTTCTTTACTTCCTCCTTTCTTTCTTTCTTTCTTTCTTTCTTTCTTTACTCCCTCCTTTCTTTCTTTCTTTCTTTCTTTCTTTCTTTCTTTCTTTCTTTTGTTTTCTCAATGAAACCACGTATTTTCTTTTCCTTTCTCTTTCTTCCCGATCAAAACGGAATAGTCTATTATTTATGAGATATTGGTAGGGCGTAACGGCCGTGCAAACGAACGAAAGGAGCGACAAGCACAATTATAATAGATCTAGACACATCATTGAAAAAAAGAAAGAAAAAAAGACCGAAATTCCTCGAAATGACCGGTGCATATCAGTAGCGAATTTCTTCAGACGGATAGAGAAAGAGAAACAAAAAGCTGAAAGAAAAAAACAAAAAACTAAAAAGAAAAAAAACGAAAATTACATGAGATTTTGAAATTGAAACCAATCATCAAATCTATGTCAGGAAATTAGATCCAGTTCGATTAAACAAAGAAAACTCTTGTCAAATAATTGACTTCGTCATTGCCGCCGATTTGAGAATGAAATTAAAAGAGTGTGAAATGCTATTGGGTTTACCAAAATAGTCGTTTGTTTGATATATACAATGTTGCTAAAAAAACTATTTTTTCTGTCCTGGGTAAGACGATAAACTAGATCCGACAGCAAGGCCTCTGATTGGGAGGTTTTGTGGATCGTGTTGTTCCCAGGTCCACCCTGACCAGGTTGATAGCAAATATAGGCAAATAGTTAACCTCAAAACTAGAGTCAAAAGATTATGAAAATATAAAAATACATTTTTGTAGTAAAAATACCAGCGATATATTTCTGAAAACAAAGCTCCCCCAAAAATTAAATTTCGAGATGAAATGACTCATGAGAGTTTGATATGCCGTTAAACAAACCAAACCAAACCAAACAAAGCCTATTTTGGTAGTTCTAACCAGTTGCTCTTGTTCTCAGGTCCTTCCCGACACGGAGTATTAGGGTAGCAGCTGTTAGGGTCCCAGCTAGTGAACCCCAGACAAAAACAAAACACAATGAAAGTCAAAAAATTACTGGTTCATTGTGTAGTAAAATTACAAACAATAACTATTTATAGTAAAATGACCAACAATACATATTTATAGTAAAATGACCAACAACACGTATTTATAGTAAAATAACCAACAATACATTTTCATAGTAAAATGACCGACCATACATTTTATAGTAAAAGAACCAACAATACATATTCATAGTAAAATGACCAACAATATATTTTATAGTAAAATGACCAACAACACGTATTTATAGTAAAATGACCAACAAAAATATTTTAAAGTAAAACGACCAACAATACATTTTTATCGTAATATGACCAACAATACGTTTTTATAGTAAAATGATCAACAATACATTTTATAGTAAAATAACCGACCATACATTTATGTAAAATAACCAACAATACATTTTATAACAAAATGACCAATACATTTTATAGTAAAATGACCAACAATACATTTTATAGTAAAATAACCAACAATACATTTTTATAGGAAAATGACCAACAATACATATTTATAGCAAAATGACCAACAATACATTTTATAACAAAATGACCAATACATTGTATAGTAAAATGACCAACATTACATTTTATAGTAAAATGAACAACAATACATTTTATAACAAAATGACCGATACATTTTATAGTAAGATGACCAACAATACGTTTTTATAGTAAAATGATCAACAATACTTTTACCTGTAGTTGCAGTTACGCAATTGCATTCAAAATATATTCAGTTGAATTGTGTTCAAGATATTTAAATTTCGGTATTAAAATAATCCATCGAGGTTGATATATCGATAATCAAAATCCACCAACTAAACAATCAACGTGAAAAAACTTTTTCATGAGATTAAGCCATATAATATTCTAGATTTTCTTAAAGAAATCAAACTGTATTCCAAATTATAACTTCAAAAAAACTACAACATAAAACAAAACACACATCTCCTCTAGTAATAACATCCTTGTGCAAATTAATTGAAACAACCGATTTAGTTTCCTTTCTTTCACCATACGGTCAGTTTTAGACGCACTGGAGTGACCGGGTGTTATTAATTTCTACTTTTTCCTCAAATTACGTTGTTTGTCAGGTTTATAGTAATATGAATCCATGTTCGGGGTGTGTGATGAAAATTTATTTGGCTTTGAAAAATATTGCGTCATCCGTGATTGCTTCAGTTTTTTATTGCGCCCAGACACTATTGTCCCGATTGTCGATTAGTTGTCCTATTACCATTGTCTGTAATTGTCGATACTCCAAAGTAGCATACAAATATTTGTAACGCTGCACAAATACACTGGCAAACTTTACCAGTGAGCAAATCAAACTACTGGCTTGGAAACTGTCCTGATTTATATACAATCGAGAATCTGTGGTCAATCTGCAAGGAAAGACATTGTGGAATGGACATACGAAGTACTAACATGTGCACTGGGTCATGTTTCATTGGAAAAATACGAAAAACTTATAATAAAAATAATAATGGAATTATTCGTTTTGTTTCAATTAATTTGCACAAGGGTGTAAGTCCACACAATCATGTATATTAGGTTCTTCCACTAAGTCACTTAAAAAAAGCAGCATATCACGATGAAAAAAGGTCTATAAATCAACGAAAACAAAGTTTTATCTCAATATGTTTATGTTGTTATGAAGAGGAAAGACCAAATTATTTTTTGATTATTTTTTGAAATTTTTTACTCCTTTCTAACACGTAGAAAATTTTGGTTAAAAATTTTGTTTTTTTTTTACGACAGCGCGAAAAGACTAAAAAAAGGTTTGTTACATTTTGCGCTTTTCCCGAGTAAAACACACGTTAATTTAGGAAATTCTTGCAAAAATCAAATAATTGTCGGATTTGAATGAAACTTTCAGGACTTATTCACAAATGAATGAAATTATTTTTGAAAATTTTTTTTTAACATGTTTTCACCACTTACATATTTTCATGAAATTTCGAGAAATTAAATCTTCACGCGCGGGATTTGTTTTATTAGTTATAAACAGGACTCTTTGTAGAAAGTAAATCACCAGTTTTTCTTTTGTAAAACAGTACCCCATATCATAGAAAATCTGCTCTGAATTATAAAAAAAATGTAAAAAACTATGACATTAATTAATTAGAAAAGCTTTCACCTGTTTTTTTTTTTTTAATACGTTTTACTAAGGACATTATTTTGTGAAGAAATGAAATTTTTTCGATGAATAATGTATTTTTTACAAATTTTTTTCCCATTTTTAAAATTTTTTTCATTAACTTCTTAATACTTCAAAAATCGTTTAAAATTCTTTATTGCTTTCAAGCACGTAATGCAATGATAACGTTAATGAAAAAGTAAATTTACGAATCGAAATTTGAAAAACACATAACAGTCGTTTGACCCAAAATATTTTAAAAATAATTTAAAAAAAAATTTTATTGAAAAAAGTGTTCATAATTTCTATGTATTGAAATGTATACATGACATAATCCTTAAAAAATTTTAAACAATTATCTAATTAATAGAAAAAACTTTAAACTATTATCTAATTAAGAAAGTATGAAATAAAATAGATATTACATAATTGCTGAATAAAAATGTTAATATTTAAAAAGTACTAGTTAAAAACGAAAAACCGCGTGCGCTTACTTTGCAAAAATTGTCAATTTTGATCATCCATAGTAATCTGTCATCATCTCGTCACAATCGATTTCTTTGATAAATTCAGACACATCGTTAAGAAATGTTTGGATACAAATTTTTATGCTATAAGTACTGTTTGTTTCATATCAGAATTTAACTTAAAATTTTCTAATTTTACTCAAATAACGTGTCAAAAATATATAAATTTATTTTAGGAAGAACTTTAAAATCAAAATTTTGTTTGTTTACAAATTTCTTAAAGTTTAAGGAAATGGCCGCTTTTAAAAAAATTAAACAAAAATCGAGCATATATTTGACATTCCAATCTATATAATTTCTTGTACTTGTTATCATAGATATGTATATGTGCGTATATGTTTATATATTTATTTGTATGCATTTCTGTATGTAAATATATATGTATATGTATGTATGAGTGTATATTTATGTGTGTTAATTTGTTTTTGCTCCCGTGTATATATATATATATATATATATATATGGTTGTGTGTTTCTGTATACTGTTTTCCTTGCCTAATATATAATGAAGCTATTATCAACTTATATGATTAATATATATTTTTATTGATATTTATGGTTTTAGAATTTTCGTTTTAATATATTAAACTTCTATAATATAGTTTTTATTTTATTACTTACTAATTCTCTAACTTTTCAAATATCGAATGTATAACTATTTCTAGTTTCTATATTTCCATTTTTTTCACCATATCAATTATATCTTATAATTGCCCCCTGTTTTAAGAACTGTTTTTCCTTTTATCACTTATACCAGTTTAGCTACAAAGGGACGTCTGGTTAGCAAGGTCGATCTTGTAGATTAAAAGCAGTACAATTGACCTTACTAACCAGACGCTCCTCTGTAGCTAAACTGATACAGCACGTCAGGCTATATGACTGTTCCGTGAAGGATACTGGTTCGAATCCTTTTGGAGGACACATATTTTCTATGAAAATTCTTGAGCGTTCAGGCCGGTAAATGTCGTTAATACTGTTTATTATAAACAAATTATTTACTCAAATATTTGTGTCTACATAAATAATGTATAACAATAAAATATCTTAATATATATAAACGTGATACTTTATGATAAACATTTCTATTATATAAGTCATACACATACACACATATAAATATATATCATGGTCTCTCTCTCTCTCTCCCTCTCTCTCTCTCTCTCTCTATATATATATATATATATATATATATTTATTTATTAGTTTTAAAATATGGTTCGATCGCTACGCAGGGATAAACATGTTTCAAAACTAAAAACTTCAAATTTTATTATAGAATTAAATTAAAGTCCCTAGTACTGTTCCATTTTCAAGCGAATTTAGGAAAATGAAACAGTACGAGTGATTTTAATGCTATAATTATATTTGAAGTTTTTAGTGTCTGTTTTTGAAACATGGTAATTC